TCACAGGTCACAGTCAGGTAGTCCTGTCATGCACACATGACATGGCACCATCACCTTGTCAGTTGTGCCAGGATTCATGTGTTCATCCAGTCATCGTGTCATGTGGTCACACATTGTGTGATCCCGTGTTTATGCAGTCACACAGTCAGCCCCACTATTGGAGGCATGCTGTCATGGTGTGCTGGGCCCAGCTGAGTGTCATGTTGAGTGCCTGGCGGAATGCATGTGTCTGTGAGATCGTGGCCAGCTCTGCCGCTTGGGAAGGCCACAGAGTCGTGGCCTCAGATCCTCCAGCTCCTCTTCAGAGGAGGCCTGATGTTATGTGGTGGCATTCCTATGGAACCCTGGAAAGGATACAGCTGAGCCCCCACCCTCCACAGGTCCGTGGGATTTGGAGGGAGCTGTGCTGAGCCTTATCTTCTGTCACTGCCCCAGCTGCAGGGAGGCGTAGGAGGCATAAATGGTCACAGCAGCTTAGTGTAGGCCCCTCGGGGCTAATGTCACAGCTCCATTGCTCCGGCAGCCCCTTGGCAGCAAGAGGCTTCGTCTACTTCCTGCCGTGGGTCTCTGGGTCTGGAGAAGCCTCGTACAGGACTTCTCTCAGTAGTCTCATGAGGGCCTCCTCAAGGTCTTGGACAGTGGCGTGTCCTGGCCACCCACACCTGGAAGCGATCCCTGCTAGGGCCCCGGAGGGCAGTGTTCTGCCCCCGACCCTAGCTTGCTGCTGTGCAAAGTGAGGGCCGGGATGCCCTTGGGTTTCAGGGAGACAGCAAGGATGTTGCTTCAGGTGGAGCAGATGCTGCCTCTGTGAGAGCACGAGCATGGAGGGAGGTTCCCGCCACAGACCCAGAGACATGACTCCTTTGTTGGGGGCAGAAAGCAGGTGACACAGTTGCCTGAAGAGAGCAGTTAGATGCTCGCAGGCCTCATTTTGGACTTGAGAACAGGCTGGTTCCCACGGGACTATGTCGGTGTGCATATAGATTGCACATCTGTGAAGTCATCAGGCAGGTTTCTCTGCATCAATGAGCATAAATTAGCACCATTGGCTCCTAATTTAAACAGACAAATTCACCATATACCAGATCAGCTCTCTTCTGTGTCTGCAAAGGTGATTACAGACCCGACAGCTGTGCTAGACGCAGGGGAGTACAGTGTACTTTGCACTGGGATCCTTTGGACAGGGACAGTGTCTGTTCCTTGGAATGGTGTGTTCCCACCTTGGGGACACCGGGCTGGCAGGGCAGATAGCCATTTACTAAGCCGCAGAGCAGTGTGGGCCGCCTTGCCCTGGCTGGGCACATCATGTTTTGTTTGTCTCCAGACTGACTCAGCTTCCCAGAAGAGGTCAGAGCAAAACCCAGCTCTGGGCTTCCATGTGTTGCACCAACCCAGGCGCCATCCACTGCCTGTTGCAGCTTTGTAGGGCAGTAAGTTGCATGCTATGTGTGAAGTCATTTCTATTGTGAGCCACAACTGAAATACACCACTGAGCCCCCAGTAATCCTGGAGTCTCAAAATCACAGAGCAGTTAAGACTCACAAACAGCTCACTGGGAACAGGGCTGGACATGGGGTGTGTGCTCCCCAGCATCACCGTTGTTACCTGCTGTCACTCCTAGGACCAGGCCTCCCTCCTCACAGCCCTGGGCTCTTTCCCTCCTCCCCTCTGGTCCACTGTCTGGGGGACTGGTACCTGCAGGCTGCTCCCTTTGTGAGTCAGGACCAAGGGGGCAGAGCAGTGCAGACGTGGCTCACTGGCAGTGTGATTTGAGCGGGGCTGATGGCCACTTCCTTTCTGTTCCTCCTCCACAACCCACCTCCCAGTGCCCAAGTACATTCTGACTTGGTGAGTTTATCAGCTTCTTGTCTGTTTAGAATGAGGAAAGGTTTAACTTGGTTCTGGAAGAGACAGGAAGGAGTAGAGTCCCAAAATCCCCAGGACTATGCCCCCAGTGACTTCATTTCCGCCCGAAGCTTCCGCCACCACCACAGACTGGGGCCAGGCCACCCACACAGGCTTCTGGGGACACTCCCAAGTCCCAACAGTGGCATTTGAGCTTTCTACACCCATCTCTGAACCACAGGATGTGCCCCACCCATGTCAGGACAACTCATGAAGTCTTCTGTCAACCTCATTCTAGTCATGCTTGCTGTAGATGTTCCATGTTAGCCAGTTTCAGCTTTTCTTCCTCTGTCTGCTCCTGCACTCCTTAGCCTTGGTCCTGGTCTCTTGCCATGGCCCTACGTCTGCCTGCCAATGCCATGCCCCCTGCCATGATTTTCTCATGCCAAGGAACAGTGTGTTTCACGCACTTCCTTTCATAGTTCCCAGGGCACTCCACAATTCCAAGGAGACAACTGGGGCTCAAAGACCCCATCAAAGAGAGTTTCAGTGATACATTAGCACAGAGCTCCCATGTTGAACGTCTGTGATTCATGAATGAGTGCATCACGTAGACAGAGTGTCAGGACCCAGCCCCAGGGCTCCTCCTTGTGCCCATACTTCCTGTTGCCCCAGCCCCCTCTTTAGGGACCTCCAGGTCTGTGGGCTGCATTAGCACCTCCCGAGAGCCAGTTGCTGTTCATGCCTTCCCCTGTATGGACCCTCGTCTTCCAGCTGCCTTACTCACTGCCCAGGATCTTGGCAGGATCTTGGCCAGGACCTCACAGACAAGGTTCCCTTCCCTTGGCATGGACAGTATATGCAGAGGGAGCCAGGACCTGGGCACGATCACCTTCGGGCTAATCATCACCTGTGGGGAGGGAAGTCCTTATGCACAGGGCTGCATCCCTGGTTGCAGATTTTAGAGTGTAAGTGTGCTAGTGAGGATATTGCTGCTTAGGAGGATGTGACCTGGGCAGATGGAGGAGGCAGATGTGCTCTGCATGCCCTCCCACGCTGCCCATGTGCTTCTCTGTGGAAGACAGCATGGGGAGCTTCAGGTACCCCTGGAAGTTGTTTGCTTTCTGTAATTCTTCACCCCGAGGGTGCTTTCACAGAACCTGGCCATGTCCCTTACCAATTCCCTAGCTGTGGCCAATAGCTGCCATGGCTTGTAGGGAACAGCACTGTCACATGTCTGCAGTGATGACTTTCATTACTGGGTCCTCAGCTCATAGCATACAAGTTGAGAGTTCCCTATACTTCCCAGAAATCTTTTCTAAAGGATGAGGCCCAGTTGTGTTAATGATTCTGCTGGAAATGGCATTGCACATGAGGGGTGCAGAACATCATGAGGAGTTCGCATCTCCCAGAGAGCAGCTGGGAGATGGTGCTGACTTCCAGACAGCAGGGGTAGGGACTGCCCAGTCTTGGTCAAGCTGGGGCTCGGTTGCATTTTCAGCCCTGCACCAGGCTGTCTTCTGCTCCTTGGAAGTCCAGGCCCAGCCACAACTGTCACATAAGTGTAGGTGGCACTGTCTTCCTGCACTGGTTCAGGGCCAGGAGTATAACTTCTAGAAGTACTTGAGTCATGGTGCCCCTGCAGCTCCTGCTGCCCCTCTGGATGAGGTAGTGAGGCCCTGCAGTAGCCCAGAGCAGTGTGTGGGTCTGGCTGGACCCACAGCCCTGCTCATCTCCTGGCACCAATTCCATGCTCCTGCAGGCCTCATGTTCCCATCTGAAGCCATGTGTCTGATACATGGCTTCCAAGGGGCTCCTGCTGCCCTTCCTGTTTCTGAGTCTGGTGGGCATGGATAGCTGTGGCCCTTGGCACCGCTCCTGATGCCACTGCAGAGATAGCCTTCCCCTCTGACACATGCTCTGTAGTATGTGTCTGGGGCCACACTGAGGCCGCCCAGCCAGTGCCCATGTCAGCCTAGGTAGTTCCATGCTGCCAATGGGTACCATCTGGTCCTCTGGGATGGCCCCAGCTTCCTAGTCTGTAGCTATGGGAAGAGGAAGTCCTGTGTATTTCAGTAGCATCAGAACGGGGTTGCTCCAGTGATGTTGGTGACAGGACATGGTGCTTGTGCCTGAGTCCCTCCCACAAAAATTCACCCCAGGACCTCAAGAGAGGGGATATGCTTTCTCAGATGCCAGGACCTCACAGACAAGGTTCCCTTCACAGACCCTGGGATCTCACACCAGGGGTCCCCTCATAGACCTTGGGACCTTATACCTGGGATTCCCCCTCACAGACCCCAGGACTTCACACCAGGAGTTCCCATGCTCAGACCCTGGGGCCTCACACCTGGGGTCCCCACCCATGGGCTGTAGGACCTCACATGCTCTTCCCCTTCTAGGCCCTTGCAACATGGACCCCTCCCCCATGTCTGGGTCCTTCCTGGCCTTCTCCTGGTGTCCCTGTCATCCTCCCCAGCCTTCCTGGCCCCATAACCCCCCACGAGTCTCCCACACTGTTTGTCCCATGGACACAGTTTCCATCCAACATTCTGTTCAATAAAATCCCATTGCACGTAGCAGTAGCAGTCCCTGTCAACCTCACCATCCCCTCAGTGGAAGTGTGGTTTCCTCTGAGGTGCTGGCACAGCCCTGCCTGGTCCCTGCTACCCAGAGTAGCATCCACAGAACAGCTGCTCCCTCCTGCCCTGAGGGCTGGATGCCACCCCATGTCACTGTGTGCCAAGGTTTGTCTGTGATGAGCTCTACAGATCATGACCTCAGGGGTTTTGTCATTCCATACAGCCAAATACAGTCTGGGACCATTCATGGGAACTCAATATTTGTAGATTTTAGGATTTTTACTGAAATATAGTATACTTTTTTCATAGTTTTTATCCTAGAGAGGAGATATAGCAGAGCTGTCATTGAAAGAAAGGTTAAGTATGAAACTGAGGGTGGAATGCTTTGTCCTTGCATGTGGGAGCTGAGTACAGTGGTGAAGGTGTGTTCCATGAGTGCCTTACATGAGGCGGACAGCCCTTCGCTGTAAGAAAGTATAGAGATGAGACTCTTTTCAGATGTGCTGGGGTGGCCTGGCTGAGTCCCTGTCCCTGTGCTCCTGCACTAACGCTTCTTCCTTTTTTCTGTTGCAGAGTCACAGTGTACCCTCTGCGGGGAGCCGGAAGGTGAGTACCCAGATTCTGCACCATGCTGCGGGGCGGGGGGGGGAGGGCATGCAGGTGGCTGTGGCTCTTGGTGAAACTGATGGTGAGGGACAGCTGGAAAGTGTTTGAGAGCCTTGATGCCGAAGGCATGCTCTCCTTGGTGTCTGTGGGAAAGTGGATAATCCATAGCACACAGAGTCAGGCAAAAGAAGTTCATCTCTAAAGAAAATACAGCATTATATTGCAGGGTTTTCTTGTGTTGTTTTGGATTTATAGATTTTGGCCAGTTTTCTCCAAATAGTAAATGTTGACATGTTTATGGGCTTTAGTTCCATTTTAGCGAGTTGCCATGACCTCACGTGCCAAGAGACCTGCGAAATGGGTCCTGACCACAATGCGTGACTGGACCTGAGGCACGTAGCAGGGACCTCGACGGCCTTAGGGAGAATGAACCCCTGGCCTCCCATGTGTCATGTTCAGTTTTGGGCAGAGCTGCAACTGCCTAAGATGCATTTAAACGTGCGGCTTCCAAGCCGGGCGTTTGTTGACACTGCTCCAAAACAGTGAAAATAAATCAGCGCAGCTTTTTCCTCACTACGCTGAGGAAGAATAAGGCAAAAACTGCAAAATATCTGACACCTTGTGGTGGAAATTCCATCGAGTTTGGATTTTGTAGTCTGCCTTCAGCAGAAAGCAGATTGGCTAGAAAACCAGCAAGCCTCAGATTGGGGAGCCACAGGGTAAGGCTCAGCCAGCCCAGTGTTGGGGAGCCCAAGGACTCAGCCCCAAGAGCCATGGGTGGAGGACTGAGTGTGCTCAGGGCTGAAGCCCAGTGCCTCTGCGAAGACCCAAACCCACAAGCCAGAAACATGAGTGAATAAGGGCTCACTTGGAAATTCTGCACTCAGTCTCTTCAGTTTGGTGATAGCCGGGTATTCAAGGAGGTTTTCTGGATTCTTACTGTTCTGTTGAATCCATGAGAAGGCACAGACATAGCCATAATGCACCTGTAGCTTACCTTCTAAAGCATCAGACTCTAGACCTGGAGTTCCCAAGACCATAGAGAGGTATCTCATGGAAACGGGGTGTGAAAGGCTCACTCTGGATATGTAGGACAGTCCTCCTCTGGGGTTTATGATGCTTTTGATCTGTCTAGTTCCCTCTGGGAAATTGGGAGTCCATTATTTCCTGTTGCTGTGGTTTTTGTTGTTGTACTGTGACCTTGTGTTGTTGAACTTGCCTACTGTGCTATGGCTTGGTACGTGACTGTGCAGCCTTGTTGGAAGTTCTCAGGGTGCTGTGTGTGGAGTCTTACAGGGCACAGAGCTCAAGCCTGTGCTTTCATCTGTGTGGTTCTAGTGGCCCAGCTCCATCCTCTAGACAGGCTGTGCACTGCCTGTCTGCTATCACTGCTGTGTGCTCCTTGCTGCTGCCCAGAGTGGGGAGCTAGCTCCCATGAGGACTGGCTGGAGGTGGGCTGTGGACACCACCCATGTTCCTGGAGCATGGGCTGCTGTGTCTGTGACCATCCTGGGTGCCGAATGGAGTCTGATGGGCCCAGATCTGCCAGGCTGGCCTGAAAGTGCCTGGCAGGGTCTGTCTGGTGAGGTGCAGGTACTCACCTGAGTGACCATTGCAACCCCAACAGTTGGGGTCAGCGGGGCCCTCCTTACAACACCCAATGCCTGCTGGTTTGGCTTCCACAATACAGGGGTGTTGGGTGTTAGTCCCATACCACATGCAGAAGTAGGAAGAGCTGAAGAGACTGGACAGGCCTGCTCCTTACTGAAACAGACTACACACAGGAGGATCCCCAGGGCACTGGCTGGGGTGGCAGTCAGTGTGGGCAGCCCTGCTCCCCATCCACCTAGTGCTCCAGGTGTACTGCTGGTAGAATTACTCCAATCAGGGGCGGCAGGGCAGTGGTCATGGGATCTCAGCTGTGCCTTACTCCCTGGAAGCACCACTTGATAAATATTCATGTGTTTTAAATCATTTAAGTAATTAGCCTAAGTGTGAACTGGCTGGATACAGCGCATGGAATCTGAAATCAGCTTTTTTGTTCAGTAATTTCTCTGGCAGCATCCACCAGTTAACTCACAATCGCCCCTGCCAGGAGTGAGGAAGCTGGGCTGCTCAGGCAGGCGGCAGAGCAGGTGGGGAGCCCCTCTTCTCCCTGCAGCCTCAGCAGCTCTCAGGCTGAACCAGCCAAGTGGAAACACCTATTTGCATTTTAATGATCAGCTCTTTCGGAGAGAACTAGTTCTTTGGATACAGAGTGAATAATTAGCATCGTTTCAGGGGATAATATCTGTCAAGCAAATGAGACTGGGAGTAAAGTTCACGGGGTCCTGGAGACCTCAGATTCCACAGCTGTGGGCCCCTGTTGGTAAGGACTTTCTCAGAGAACGGGAATTTTAGTGAGTATACAGAATGTGAATACCAATTCAGCGAGCTGGAAGCTTGCACAATCTGCACTGTGACGTCTGGAGGCTGAGGAGGTGAAGGTGTCTGTAGATGCACAGTCACTGCTTCCTGGCCAGAGTAGAAATGGCCCAGCTAGGGCTCAGGAATGGTAGCACCTGCAGCACTGGTGTGGGCCTTAGCAGGTCCCACAGTTTCCATGGGGTGGCTTCTGCAGCAGTATGCCGTGCACCAGCCCCTGAATAGAAGTAGCAGGGTTACTAGAACACTTCTCATCCTTACAGAGATACGCAGGGCAGCACTGAGTCCACCTCAGTTTCTGTCGTCTTCCTAGTAGCCCCTGATAGCCCAGACACTGGACAGAGCCCAGTAGCAGAGTTTTCCGTTAGTTTGACACAGCAAGGACTTGTCCCACATGACAGACCCTGCCAATTTAGTGTAGGTACATAATTTAAGAGTACATGGTCTTTTTCAAACTTTACTGGCAGGCACAGGGGGGCATTTGCTTTTAAAGGAGGCCACAGGAAAACAACATGAATCTCAGGCAGTGCTACAGTGCTGCTTCCTGGACTTCCTGGATTTAATGCAGTTTCCTTTCCTACTAAATAGACTTTTGTGATGCGGGAACATGGATAAGGATGTCTGAGTTAGGAGAATTTACTAGAAATTCAGTATTGTATATCCACAGTGTCTTAGATATGCACTGTTTTGCCCAATTAAAGCCAAGAAGTAGTAAGTTATTAGGATGTGAGTTGGCATGTAGGACTTTGCTACACAAATGCCAGGGCACATTCTCTAGGACATAGGTTGAATGCTTAGCCTCAGGAAGCTGCGGCTCTGGGTGGTGGAATGCTGGGTTTTTGGAAAATGTCAGTGGTAGAAATTCCCATACAAAAGCAAATTTCAGATTTAAAAAATATCCCTAAAGGCTTAAGGTAGTGTTTTCTTCCCTAATATGTTTTTCTTTGTGAGTTTTTGTTGTTGTTGTTTGTTTATTTTGATCATTCAAAAACATTCAAACTGCACTGGGAATTTTGGATATACATAATCTTACATTTTACTACAAATAGAAAGTACATCTTCTCTATAATACATCATTAAGAAATAGTGGGAAGTTTTTCTTGTACTTAGTAACTTTGCATTCTTGATTTTTTAAATGAGAGAAATTCAAGATTTCCCTCCAAGTGACTTTGAACAAAGGCAACATGGCTGCTTGTGTACCTGATGGATTGTGTCATCCTGAGCTTTCAAGACCTCTAAACCACAGAGGGTAATAAGGCTGTGTTCCTGTCCCCACTCAGCCTGTCCTCTGCCTCGCTGGCTCTCTAGGAGGAGGATGCAGCTGCCCCCACTCCCTCAGGGCTCCGAGCCCTGAACTCCAACACCATGTCCTCCCAGATGGGGCATCTGAGTCTTCCCTGGGTCTTCCAGGCACCAGGAGGGGAACACAGCAGCTTTGCTGCCTTCTCAGTATGGCTCCAGGAAACCAGGGTCCCTGGGAACAGAGTTCTCTGCCCAGAGACTACCTCCAGGACTTTTGTGTGGTCTGAGTCTTGGTGTGGGTAAAACAGAGGATAAAGGCTGTTACGAGGCAACCAGAAAGTGGGCAGACCAAGCTGTGACAGAAACTCACCTGTCCCCTAAAGCAGAAGTACAGCATAACATACAGTGGAATCCATTTCAATGTGCAACTGAGATTGAAAGAAAAAACATGAGGGGTCCCAAGACCCAAGAAATGTGGCAGAATCTTAAATCTGAGGATTAGCACTAGCCAGGGCTGAGGAGGGAATCCAGGAAGGACAGGCTGCACTAGAGTTGATGTCCTCGAGGTGGGAGGGGCCTGGGGACAGGCAGAGGCTCTGAGAGCCGTCAACCCTCTGCCAGCATGCTTCCCTGCCTATGAGTAAAGAGCCCAAAGAAACTGTCCTGGAAGGTGCGGAGAGGCTCATCTCACCCTGAGGTCATGGGCCAAATGCATGTGAAACGTGTTGTGAGTGGAACTCGAGGTCCCAGAGGACCCAGACCACACAGGATGAGGAGTTCCCCCTCCCCACCTAGATAAATAGAGATGAGAAAACCCCCCAGGGTGAGAAAAGACAGAGACCCTGAAGAAGGAGACAGCACTGGGAACCCCAGACCTGCATGGCATCAGGCTGTGCAGAATTAGTACATGCACTTCCTGAAGTCAGGGGAACCCAGACAGATGAGAAGCACAGCCTGCAGTGAAACAGTAGCTAGGAACTCAGTTGGTCATGAGAACTGACCAGTATTTGACTGCTAGAAAGTGGGTCAGACAGAGCTGAAAAGAGAGTTAGCAAAAGAGAAAACAGTGTGAGAACCTGCCTAGAAATTTACACAAAAATATAAAGCAAAAGTGGAAGAAGAGTCAAATACACAGAAAAGGCTGCAGAACCCCAAATGAGTTAAGGAGAATGCAGAGGCGGGAACTGGAGGAGTCAGAAAAGTCAAGGCTGAGCCTGCTGAGGACTGAAGAAATGTGTTCCCTCTTTGATCTAAATGCCCCTGGGACTGAGGCCAAATAAATGCCACTTCCTTCCCTCCTAAAGCGGAGGTGCAGAGAGAGAGACAAGCAGATA